GGGGGGGGGGGGCGGAGCCACACGCCGCTCGGCAGCGGGACCGGGACCTCTCACCACCTTCCGCTGGGTTTGCAGCTGCACCTCCTGTTTTCCTTTTCACAGGTCGTCGTCTTCTCTTCTTTCCAAGCCAGCACAGATCCAGAAAGTTTCATCACTGCCAGTGTCTTCAGTACTGATATTAAGGAGTCATTTTCCTGCAGGCTCTGCATCTCCTAGTTAACAAAGAACCTCTATGCAGGGCATCACGTAACCCAAACCCTCTCCTTCAGACTCCCCATTCCCTAAAAAAGTTAACTCAGCACTTGGAAAGGCTGAAAAGGAAGACACTGAATGAACTCATTGACTGCACTCATTTGGCAGGCTGGCCAGCACCGTGGGCCTTCAGTAGTTCTTTGTTTAAACTTCTTCTGAGTCGCAGGTTTTGAACCAGTGATTTTCAGGAAGTTGTAGGAAACGTCCAGACTTGGCTGTTGCTCGAGCAGATGAATTCCTTCTGGAAATTCCACCTGTGCAATAGATGCCGGGAACTCGGGCTCGACCTCTTCCAGATGTGGGGAACGCTGCTCTGCTTCATCTGGTCTAGCCCTCTGCGGTCACGAGGAGACAAGACTTCGCTTCTGTTACAGTAAGCCTGCGCTTGTCAAGAGTTTGCAGTCTCCGTCTCTCTGCTTCCAACCACCGAAGCAGCTCAACCCCAGCTTCACTATATCCATCAGGCTGTCCTAGTAAAGAGATGCAGGGTCTTCAAGCCCGACATCTAACTCAAGCCAGTAACACCCACCTCAAAAATTTAAGCACACATATTTACAATGGTACTCTTGGCTTTCCAGGTAGTTTCTCGGAATAGAAAAACCACCAACCGCACCACGGAGGCAAGTCATGGTAGGGGCACAAACACCGCATTCCTCCAGCAAGTGCAAGGCAAACATCAGGATTTCCAGTGTAGTCGCAGGATTTTAGGGGGACAGCAGGGATTCAGGAGGATCGCAAGAATAAAGGAAAGATTATCAGACCCTTCCAGTTTCTCCTTGCAAGCAAGGACCCCACTGCGGCATCCCTCGTCTGACGTGGGAAGCGGCCTGATGCAAGCTATTGCAATGTGCAGGACGAAGATGGCAGCAGAAGACCAGACCTTCTCCTCCGGCACTGGAAGCACTGCAGGAGAAGACTAAAAGGTTCACCAGACTACGGCTTAACAGTGTCTCCAGATCACATTTTTTGGCAGCAAGTAGCACTAACAGAAGTGGCTGTCGGGCAATGCGAGCAGCCAATAACATGTGATTTAAGCGAAAAATGGCAAAAAAGCAGAATAAGGAGGATTGTGTGTGATAAGCCTAGTATGCGCTCTCACCCAGCAGCATCTGGAGAGGATTTTCTCCAGCAGGCAGGGAAGAACTCGATTACATCCAGTTAACTGTGCTCTAAACTGATTATGCATGTGCCAGGCTAATGGATTACATTAGCAAGAGGAAAAATAACATCCAATCAATCTCAATTTACTGCAGACCACACCAAGGCCTGAGAGAAGAGAAACCATTCTGTGAACTACCCCCACTCCCGCCGCATCTTTTCAGCTACCAAGAGAGACGCAGCATTACAACCGCTCTGCAGACTGGAAGAATTGCACCGAAGCTCGCCTGCTCCACAGACAGCTTTTTCCATGAGGTCAAACACCGATCCCAGCTGCGGGGGAGCGAGATGCCGGACCACACCAAGGCCTGAGAGAAGAGAAACCATTCTGTGAACTACCCCCACTCCCGCCGCATCTTTTCAGCTACCAAGAGAGACGCAGCATTACAACCGCTCTGCAGACTGGAAGAATTGCACCGAAGCTCGCCTGCTCCACAGACAGCTTTTTCCATGAGGTCAAACACCGATCCCAGCTGCGGGGGAGCGAGATGCCGCGAACGCAGCCGTCCGCTGACCCCTGCCACGGCGGGCGAGGACGCAGCCAGGAGAGCAGCAGGAGCTGCAGCTTAGGATATACCATGCGGGGAGGGGGGGGCTAACCAAACCAAATAAAATCCCTTATGGCGTATTTCACAGGCTTTACACAGGCGTACGAGAAAGCCAATATACGGACCGCACCATAGACTTCATTACTCTGAAATGTGTTCTCCTCTATCTGGCGTTTCACTGCTTTTCTGTCAGAAGCAACGTGGGGCTGTAACAGCTCCAAGAACTGCCCAGGCCTCTTACAAACCTGAAAACTGACAATTCCTCTTCGCCTGTCTGAGGAAAGCATTTCAGGAATCTTTACTACAAGCATCTACAGCTGTCCTCTAGTCTGACTCGGTGGGGGTTTTTTTCTCCCCCCAGAGTGGGAGAATTCTAGTGCCTGGATTGCTTCCTCCCCATTAGAAATCACTATAGATGAAGGGTATAGATTAACAATTTTTAAACCTTTGCAGTGTATATTTAAGAGAACAATATCGTGTACTGAAACTCGTAACAGAACTTGTACCCGAAACTGAATTCCACAGACAGAGGAGATTCAGTTCCTCAGCTGGCTTTTTAAAGTCTCCCTGGGAGTCTCCTGCTCCCAGTTTCCAAGCTGGTTTTACTCTCTCCAGTCTCCCGTACATCTGACAGCAGAGGTATATGTGTAAAGCCGACCATTTTCAGAGCCAGACTCCGCTGTGTTATGCTGGATCCCAGCTGATGATGGTAACAGCAATCACCACAGCAGTCTTGGCCTCAACAGCAAGCTCAGCAGAAACACCTCCCTCCTCTGAGCAGTTCCCCATCAACTCCAGGCAGGTCCAACCAGCATCGTTCAAGACAAACCTCCTATGATGCTCCTGCTTGTCTCTTTCCTCTCTGGATTTGCTGCAACTGCTCATTCCTAGGGAAAATCCAGGAGTTTTGAAATCTGATGTGTCAGCACCATGACACGGGTGGGCTACTGTACAGTTCAGTGTCAAGTTTTAAACTCCCATTACATAAAGAAAAATATTCAAAGAAATAATTAAGCAGCACAAAATACAGTCTGTGTGTATATATACTTATATATAAAAAAAAAAATCTCACCACAGTTGGGAGACAGCAAAAAATCTGAGAGAAATAAGATGGTAATGAGTGGGATAGCACGTGTGAATGGAAGGTATGCGGCTGCTTAGATTTATGGCAATTCGTACCTGATTGTTCATACTAAAGCCATTATGGGATGATTAGAGAAAAAGGTGAAGCTTTAAGTCCAGTGAAAATCAATAGAAACGTCTGGAGCAATTCTGCTGCACGAGCGAAAGGACTATTTACTGTATCCGGAGCTCCTCTCGGGTTATAGCCCACAGGGTTCAGGCCAGCCGGGGAGGCGCGGAAGAGTAAAGAAAGCAAGATGGCAGTCATAGGCCAAATACTGTCATATGAAAACCTGCAATGCATGGTCCAGCACACGCACGCGTCCGCAGGCTTCTCTTCCAGCCTCGAGCAACACTTCGCTTACAGATCCCAGCATCAATGTACACAGAGTGTAAGAGCACAGAGAGAGCGGCCCTCTTCCTCCAGCCCTCCCCGCTCCATCCACCCAGCCTTCTCGACGTCAGGATGAACACACCTCTCCGACAACAGCAAAAGCCTTCAAGTGCTCATGAAGAATCTCGGATGAGTTAAACTGCTTTATGGAAAACAGTCAACAGAAGCGTGGCAAATACCATCTCGCACCATGTTTTCAACGGTGACTACTGAATTTTCGAGCAAAAGTATATTTAACACATACGCAATGCTGTCAGACATGCAAGCCCCCCGTAAAGCACCTTGACATGAACACCCACTGGCCTAAGGCATCACCAACCACAGCTGCTATCAGAACGCAGGCTGAAGAGCTGTACCCACGCAAGTGAGACTGGGTCCCTGGAGAAGTCTGAGCGCTTCGTCTCCAAAGGATCACAATCCACTGTGGTTCAAAACAGATTTTCCTTTGTTCCAGCACTTGGGCAATGAAGGAAGATGAAGCAAAGCCAACTCTTACCTTATAGAGCTTCAGGCTGGCCTCATGCCTCGAGTTCACTGTGTGAAGACGCAGCTTCTCTAGGCTGTTGGTGTAGTAGTCGCAAGCATTGCATTTCAGATGTACCGGATTCCCAATGGCCACACACTTCAGCCTCCATTCATTGGCCTTGCCACCCTCCTTGATATGTGCTACCAGCTGGTATTTCTGCACATGCTTGTCCGTCTTACAGTGCAGTTGGAAGTTTGCCTTGAGCTGCGTGTTGTAGCGGCACAACTTGCACTGGTACGAGTCCCCCATCACTGCCTTCCACTCGTCTTCAGGGAGGCTACGCTCCACATTCATGTGCAGGCCCAGCATGTCCAAATTATCCGTAGTGAACTTGTTGCACACAGCACACTGGAAGAGCTTCAGCGACGGGTCATTTGTTTGCGTGAAACTCTCACCCAAGTTCATTAGCTCCTCAGACACCAGCTGTCCACCACCTAACCGCATGTCCAGGGGGATCTCTCCACCCACTGCACGAAGGAAAAAGGGGAGAAAGAGGTCAGAAAAGCTGAATTCTTTACTTGCCAGAAGAGAAGCACTGAGCAGAAAATACGCTGCTCTCAGTGCAACTCTTGCACCCACCAAATGCGCAGCAAAAGCCAAGCAAAGCTGTCCCTTCACTTATTCCTCTACACTGCTGCCCAGTACCACATCTGAAGGAAAAAGCAATTGCAGACAGCGCGTAAAGCAATAGCCCTTGCTACCTACCTTCTGAAGGAGAAGTATCCAACCCCCTGCCCATGAAAGGTGGCAAGAAAAACCCTACAAAGTTTCAGGGAACGAAGAAATCCTTCATACCACATTCATAGTCTCCGAGGCAATTTCAAGAACAGTGTAACACTTTATTCTGTTTTTTGTTGCCTACCTGGAGAAGCAAGAAATGTTACCTCACGCAGCAGCTGAGCACAGTCCCTGCCAAACAAAAATTGGTCAACAGGCACAAGTCCAAGGGATGGGAGTATTAGTTAGGTCACCCACACTGCCGGCGGAAGCAGCCAACGGTGCAGAACGTGGCAAGTACAAAAAATAATCTGAAAAGTGCCACTCCTGCACTATCAGATCTCATCTTTTGTCCAAGGGTTCAAAATGGTGGACAGCCTTGTAAAAACAGTGTTGACAGACACTTTGTACGCCCAAAGAAAAGACAACCACTATTAATAACGAGAGTGCAAGAGCACGTCAAGGAAAGCCAGCAGGATGCTTACTGTCTTTAAGTGTCACATCTATTCTTCGATCTAAGAGCTGAACTCTTTTCATTCGCAGTAAATGAATGCAGCAAGTTCTTATTTACATTAGAGCACTCTGAAGACGAGGACAGAGAGTCTTTCTTTTTTTTAACGTTAACTTTTCAAGTCAAAGCACAGAGACCAACCACCAGCCTCTTCCTAGGACCTTTGCTCCACCCTGCTCTCCTTTTCCATTTTTAAGACATTTATGCTCCTCCTGCAGCTTTTTGGCATTTCACCTTGATCTTGCGTCATAGCTCAGCTTAACTATCTAATTAAAGGAGCCTTCAGGCCAACAATTACTCAGTCAACCAAAAAGAGAGATTTTACTTCCTTAACTTCTAGTTTCCTATGTTTCAACCTACTGAAGCAGCCAATGCTGGGAAGATGCTCAAAGTTCAGGCAGAACCGTACCAACCTTTCCGAAAACATACAACCACAGCGGGTGCAGACCACTGCTTTGGGCAGTGTACGTGCTACCACCTTTCCTGCAGAAATGCACATACCACAATGTTCATCACGGTCCTAAGCAGGATGAACTACAACACTAGAACCTGACTGCTGAGCTTGTCAGAGGAACAGCACCTCACTGTCACCAAGCCCATCTTGTGGTCACACAGAGGAGAACTGGTTAGAGAGGGAAAGTCCCATCTGCACTCGCTGCCAGGAACCTGTCTTTCCATCAAAACAGTCAATGATCTTTTTTCTTGATCCACTCTATCCCTCCTTGCTATGGCAGAATTAGACCTTCTGTACAGCTACTCCTGCATACCTGCTGACTAAATATCCAAAAAACAGGGAACCCACCACTTGTCTTCTGCGGTCTGTTCTCCTAATTGTAGTGATTTTTCTAAGCATCCCTTTTAGGAGATATCTTGAAATCCTCTCTTTAAATCAGTCTCCCCTGAACACATCACGCAGTAAAAACCTAAAAGCAGACTCATCTGAATTATTAATATTCTTCTACTCAAATCTAGTTTTGGACTGAAGTCTAGAAATGGGAAAAATCTGCTTCATTTCTAGCAAAGTTCATAGCGTGTGTATATGAGTCTAAGGAGCTGAGCCCGTGTCAAGTGCTTATTGACATGGGAAGGGCCTCCCTCTGCAATCCTCAGCTCAAGATTTGCAACCGTCAAGTACACAATTCACAAATGGCCCCCCAGGCCAGCTCCTACACAGTCAAGGCCTTGCCATGTACTTTCGGATGCTTCAGTTCAAACACTCCCAACTTCTCTGCTGCCGAGCGCCCCGTGCTTCCCCCAGGAGGGGCTACAAGGCCCATCAGGGCGCCTTCCCAGAAACCCACCACGGACAACACCGTAACTTCATACGCTACGAGCTACGTTGCAAATGACTGTCAATCCCACCTGCTGGCAGCTGGGAGCTACTGAAAACACACTAAAAAGGACTGTGTCCTTCACCTCCCAAAGACGCACGCTGGGACACAGGGGGAGGGCAGAAAGAAGATAATTAATTTACAGTCACTTGAGTTCCTTCGTTTTCTTTTTCATTTTTTGAGTGTCTTGTGCTGTTGTTCTCTCGTATGACTTTCACGTCCTTCTGGACTACCACTAAGCTGCGCTATGAATAGCTGAAGGAAAGGAGAACATGCACGAGACCAACGAACCAGTCATGGAGCGCACCAGTAACAACAGCGTCGACGGATGGACGAGGTGAGGGAGGGCAGAGTGCAGCAGGGAGAAACCAGTTCGGAGGAAAGCAGGGAATGCAGCAGATTTTTTTTCACTTACTTCCCCAAGGCACTGTGACAAATTCTTAGTGGCACCAAAACGTCAGTGCCCATCACGCCTGAAGCATGCAGGGCCCTGCCCTGTGCCAGCTCTCGCCCGGCAGCGCTGCGCAGCCCCAGGACGCCGGGAAGGACGTGCCCACTGCCAGCGGCTGCTGCTGGCCCCGGGCAGCAAGGGCTTGGGAGAGGAACCCAACAGGACCTGACCCTCCACGCCCCCCTCTAAGGCTAAATTCTTGGGCTAAATTGTGTGGGGACAGGCCGTGCCCCCCCAGTGCCAACACGATGAATGCGCGTTGCGAGGAAAAATGCATTTGGCAGTTCTTTTGTGTTCTTGTCATCTGATGAGAGAAATCATCTTCTCTCTCTCTAGCCATTCCCCTCCAGTTTAATAACGCTCATCCAGTCAAGCCTCAAATCTTGTATCTTGTGCTGGCACAGGAGGAACGCTTTCAGCTCGGTTCCTTCAGCAGAGGAACACCATCCTTTCCACCGGATTCATCACAGCTCTCAAACTTGCCTAGTTTTCCTTCTCAGGGCAACAGAGCATGTAACAAACCAACTCAACATCTGCCTCAGAGAGCGCCAGCAGCTGCTCAGACCCTCTCACAAAGCCACCCACCAAACTCCTCGCATCCCTTGCCACACCAAGGAAAAACCATTAGGAAACACTGGAGGAAGGATGCTTTCCACAACGAGGAGGAACATTTAATGCATGTCAGCAATAATCAGTACCTGCTGTTTTATTAGCTCCCTACCAAAACTCTTAGCAATTGTACCAGAAAAGTAACGTATTTTCCCAGGATGAGGAAAAACTGGTCTGGGGGAATGCAGAAGAGAGGTCTCCACTGTGTAGTCTCCATCCTTGACCACCACACAAAGGCAACTCGCCGCATCGTGGCTGCCCTGCGCGGCAGGGCATGGAGACAGAAGGAAGGGATTCGGCACGCAGCGCCCAGTCCGTGCACCAGAGTTTTACGGTCACGCAAACACAATCCCTCCCTTCCACACGGACACGGTGGAAAACCCTTCAGCCTCACCTAGAGACGGAGCCATCGTTGCCATGGGGTTGGTGGGATCGAGCTGGAATCCGCCCATCATGAACTGCGCATCTGAGGAAGTGCTGTCCATCTTCAAGTTGGGAAGGTTCATGTTCTGCGCCAGGTAGTACTGGTAGAGCTCGGCCTCGGCGGGGGACGGCAGGCTGCCGAGGCCCAGGTGCCGGTTGTGTTGGATTTGGGACATGTTTTGCTGAAGCAGCATCATGTTGTGCATGTGCTTCTCACTGGTCATGTGAATACGAAGGTTTCTAGCTACGTTGGTCTCATAGTCGCACACCTCGCACCGCCACGTAGGTTTGGTTTTTGGTTTGGTGGGGGAGGGGGCCCCGCAGGTGCTACCGATGTTGGCGGCC